TTGTCCCCAGTGTGATTCCACAGTGTTCCAGATGTTGCTTCCGCAGATTGATCATTTTCACTGCCTCTGACTGCAGATGTCATGCGCTTTGACAGGATTAAAGACCTCGGATGAAGAAAAACGTTGTGGAATAAGGTGCAGGTTTATGAGAGAGAGAAAGCTAAATAATACAAAAATACAATTAAAAAGCGCAGGTCTCAGCGGCTAAGAGGTTCAGCTCCACAACTCCAGTTTCACATTACAAATCAAAGTCTTGACTTCTTGTGTAATAACAATCATATAAAATGTCCTGATAGCGCTGATGGAGCTGCAGCTGCTTCATTCTTCTGTATAAATGTGGAGCTGAAGCCATTATACGTGACGGCTGTGAGGGTCGCTGAGTTTAACCTCCAATAGTTCTTTAATGCCTGTAACATCACACCCATGTATGGTATTTTAATATCACTGCTCTTAGCACCATCACACATTCATCACACATCAAACTCTAACACTGTGTCTTCCTCATCTCCGCAGAGAACGCTACAGGTGGACAGTCCTCAAAACGTGGTTCCAGTGACGGTGAGTTCCGTATTGTTGATCAAAATGACGTATATAAGCTTAAATGTTAGTCTAAATGATTGTGCCGTGTGCTTTGACTATAGAACTACAAGAGTGGAAACTCGTCTTTATTGTCCCAAAATATAAAAACAACAGAAAAAAGCCGTAAAAAAGTAAACAAATGCAGAGAATAACATTCTCAGTATTTAAGAAAATGGATAACGTGCTGAGTTGTTGTTTTTTGCAGATTTGCAGCTTTTAATTTTAAAAGCTGGAAACTAATGAAAGCTGAAACGATTTCAATCAAAGGAAGCCTTTGAATAAACATCATGGTTTCTGTCTGAAGGGAACATTTTCTCAGCTATTCTCACAGTTGTAATCAGCACATTGGTTATAGGGCAGCGTGCTGTTTTTATTAGCAATGTTTTATTAGCAATAGATCGAATAAAATAAAGAAAAGATAACCTAATCCTGAAATGAGCTTAACTATGTATGTCCAGTGGAGCCAAATATTAATAACCTAAAGAAGAGCCATGATTTAGTT